AATCAACAAGTGTGTTATTCTTCTTGCGAGTCTCGTAAAAGATAGTTGCCAAATCTGGTGGATTGCCATCTTTTCCGCCCTTTACATAAAAGTAAACATGTCAAAGAATGGTTCATCAATATTAAGCCAGAAAAAGATTTAATGATAACACCTTTTGATAAATAATCTCTCTAATTGGCTTGCTACCAATATGATGAAGCATCTTCAGCTTAGCTCTATTTACTACATTTCTATTGCTTCTCACCTATATTTGAGTAACAACATTAAATTCAAATGTTATAAATAAATTATCAAAATGAAATTAATATGTCAAACCTGAAAATCTTTTGAAGTAAAATGTTCTTTTACCAACCACTCCCATTGCTTCTTTTCTACCCCCTTAGGCATATTCTTAAGAGCCTCTTGTATAGGCTTACCCTTCACATAGTTTGCATGCAATTGACCTCTCCATTTATTCCATAACTCTTTCATCCACCCCAAAACATGATCTCGATGACTATTCATGTCATCACTATCAAATTTATCCTATAATGTATCAAACATAGGTTCACATCAGCTATAATCACAGGAACAACTTGTATTTTGCTTAAGCTAACCATCAATTCCTTAGATCTAACAAAGCTCAGATTAGTCACAGTCCTAGTATGTAAAACGATATGGGAGAAACAATTTAAAATTGAAACACGAAGGAGCACACTAATTAAGCATCAAGAATTGTATTAAGAAGAGAGTAGCTCAAGAAGAAATTGAAATATTTAATCAAATTACCTTAACAACAGCCCACATATGATTTAGCTTTTCCTCCTTAATGTGTTTCCATGATGATACTCCCAACGGACATATATTACGATCCCGTAACTATTTTTCCCAAGTGCCTCAAAATAGATTACTATTCTTCCCAACTGTTCGATTATTGTAAAATGTCACTTTTAGCTTTTGTCCAATATCAAGCAATGCAACTTCTTTGCACTTGTTACTTCCTCGAACTTTTTATTCCATTTCCAGTTAGGCACCATGAACCTACATTTACATAATTTATTAAATGGTAGAAAATATTGTACATATGATAAACTTGTGATTAAATAGATATCAGAAATGAAAGCATACTTGTTTCAGCTGTTTGGGCAGACTGTTTAACTTGTTCAATAGGTGAAATTGGAATATCAGAATGCAAACTCTCTTTCTCATGAGCCAAAGTAGTTTTATCTGTTGTTCTCCATCCTTGAGAGAAACCTATGCAAGAAATTATATTAGTAAAATTACTTGAATTAATTTAAATTAAATTCTGAAAAAGAAAAAAATTTAAGAAATCATACTTGTTTCAAATGTTGGGTGGACTCCATAACATCATCAGTAGAAAGAGAAATTGGAACATCAACTTGCTTATGCTCTTTCTCAGAAGCCAAAAACTTTTTATTCATTGTTCTCAATCCTTGCGAAAAACCTAATGCAAGGAATTGTATCAATAAAAGTACTTGAATTAAATTAAATTAAATTCTGAAAAAGAAAAAAATTTAAGAAATCATACTTGTTTCAAATGTTGAGGTGGACTCCATAACATCATCAGTAGAAAGAGAAATTGGAACATCAACTTGCTTATGCTCTTTCTCAGAAGCCAAAAACTTTTTATTCATTGTTCGCCATCCTTGAGATGCAGAAGGTCTTGACATACTTTGACTCACATAACGAGCATTTTGATTGAAAGATCGCTCCTCATTTTCAGAATCTTCAATTGAGCACATAGATTTAAGCCCTTGAGACTTCCCTTGAGCACCTAGTGCAAGAAATCATATCAGATAAACATTAGCAATAAATTAAATTCAATTCTAAAACATAATAAATTGTAGAATCATACTTGATGAATTTGTTTTGATGTATTGCATAAGTTCTTCAGTAGATGAAAAAGATGGAATATGTCCTTTATCAACACTCAAGTAGTTTTTGTTCATTGTTCGCACTCCTCGAGCATTAGACATAGATCTAAGACCTTTTCCTCGTCCCTTTGCAACCACACCTAGTATAAGAAAAGTGACAATAAAAAAGTTTCGAGTCAATGTTGTTCAAGAAATTGCAAAAAATTGAAATAGAGAAAATAGAATTAAACTAGAATGCTACTGAATATTTCAGATGCTTTAACAAAGCTCCTCTTAGTTGAGTGTTTTATTCAGCATTGACATCAGAGCTTACTATATTGGTTTTGTCAAATGATAAGTGTTCTCAGAGATTCTATGAGACATTAAATGTGCACAAGAAGTACTTATTTTGTATATAAAGACTGAAGGAAAATGTTCCTGGAATCTCAGTGTATAGTGAAGAAAATTTAGTCTCAAGTTCAATTCTTGTCTCTCTAGCATTCTATGTCTAAAAATGTTAGAATAGAACTGTATATAGTGTCCTACTTGGAAAACGATTGTGACCAAATGGAGAAAAAAGAGAAAAGAATGCATAAGTAGAGGGAGAAAAGTCCTTTAGATGTTGACAGAATTCTTTGGAAATATCTAAATATAATTCTGAGACTTTTCCACTCCCAATAATGTTAGAATAGACTTCTTTATATGTGTGTTTTTTACCATTAACTCTTTTCACCTTTTCGTGAGTTTCATATCTCAACTATCAAGTGTTTGCTTTTACCTACCTAAAGTAACACTCCCTCTATATTAAAACATACCTTCGATGTTGAATACGCCTACACACTCCTGTCGTCGAGTAGGAACAATATTTAGTGAACTCTGCATCGTGGTGTGTTTTGATACAAAGAGAAGAGTGATATATAGTTTAGATAGGTAAAAGGAACAATGGATAGTTGATATATGAAACTCACAAAAAAAAAGTGATAGTTGTCTCTTCACTAGGCATGACGACTAAGTCTATATATTGATGCAAGACTTCAAGTATTTACACCAAGATATACTTTTTCACAAATTTTCCAAATCAATTATGCTTTTAAATGTTAAATGTAGTGAACAAATGCCTTATATTTCTTTCAATATGATTAATCTTATAAACATCTTCAAATGCATCAGTAGCAGTAATAATGTTCATAACATTACGCAGAAGAAGAACGATCATTTTGTGGGTTATAATATGTACAGTGGCTGTGAAGGCTTTAGCATATACTATAAGCTTTCCGATGAATACATAGGAGCAGACAATATTCCTACCAACTGTTCACTAATCAGATTGCCAATTCAGTCAAGTCATGGTGATTTGTTCAACATGTTAGGTCTCGAAATTCTAGTAGAATGAAAATTATCTGAGGAATGTAACAAATGTCATTATGGTGGAGGTCAATGCCAGAGTGATAAAACCAACAATTTTTCTTGTCACAAAGGTAGACATCTCCAAAATAATCTGTATTTCAGGGTCAAGTTCATGCTTCTTAAGTCACTTTCTTGTTTCATGACGCATAGATAATACATTTCGTATTAATTCCTCCTTCTGTAGATGCAAAAACATCTACAAGTAGTACCGACCAAAGAATAGTAACAACCGAAAGAAACATGGGGGAGCTGATTCTGGTCACAGGTACAAGAATATATTTAATTGCTTTCATGTTATTCTTATTACAGAATTTTCATGCATAACATTTAAATTCTCATCATTTTGTATTAGCTCAAAACCTTTCTCTAGTGATAAAGAAACAAAAAGAAAAGAATTAAATAGTTTTCGGTACACAAAATGTATGGATGTGGAGTTGAGGGAAATTTTTTTCTCTGATGGGTCATGATTTCATTTTTTTCCCACAGGTGCAAGTTTGTCTACTGTTGGACTGTTGGTTTTACTACTCTTTTGCTTCAGAGAAAAAAAGTTGTGGTACAATACATCAGGTTTTGGGAATCTAATGCTGAGGATCACCAAAAAGTTGAAGAATTCTTAAAGAACTATGGATCATATGCTCCAAACAGATACAATTATACAGACATCAAAAGAATCACCGGTCGCTTCAGAAGCAAACTAGGACAAGGAGGATTTGGTAATGTGTACAGAGGAAGAAGAGTTGTTAGTCCTTCAAGTGAGAGATCTCTCTTCTCGACATAAATTGTGTAGTATCTAATTTGCTCGACATAAGTTTAGAGAACTTATGTGTCGTTCAAGCTACTCATAGACACAAGTTAACAATTTTGTTTCTTTCTCGTCTAATCTTTTTACTGTCAGATTATACTTTAAAATTGAATACAATGGTAATACAATAAAAAGAATCATTCAAAATCAAAGCATATAAACTGGGAACTGAAATTAAAGATACTAATGGAAAAAATATTCAACTAATTAATCAGCTGATAGAAAAAAATTGCTATGCCAGCCTTACCAAAATTTCGTGGCAGCAAAAATTATGAAATCCTAACAGAGAAAATCGTTAAATAGACTCTCAAATATCTCATCTTTGAACCTAAACCCCAACCTTGCCTACAAAACTAGCATTTTTCGTCTTAACACAATAACAATGAGTATCTATAAGTGCTCAATCACATAGTATTCAATTATCAAGAAAGAAAAATGAAAGATTTTACAGAAAAAGAAGAAGGGGGTTATGAATTAGGAGGAATAAAATTACCTTAGATGTAGATACAAGTGGTAGATGAATCGTTTTGCTCCCAATAATGCCTTCAAACTTAATGATTTAGGAGATTTTGCTGTCAATAATGCATTCAAGCTTCAAGATTTCGTAGATTTCTGTGCGTGTTTGATAGAGCAAGAGAAAAAAAAAATGAAAGAGACTAGTGATTTTGGCAGATTGCTAGCTAGAGAGAGACAGAAATATCTGAACCTTTATCAATGGATTTGGGGGTTTTAGGTTATTACTATAGAGAGAGAAACTATTTTTGTGCCTTTTAGTATTTCACTTCTTGTTCCCGCTCTTCCCTTCTAATTTCCCGCTGAAATTTTTACTTAGGGACGAGTTATTTTGTTTTTAGAAAATAATATACTTAGGGACGAGTTTTTTTTTTTTAGAAAATAATATAGTCAATTAGGGACTAGTAAATAATATCATCCTTATAGGTATATTTTAGGCACCATATTTATAACTTGTCACAATATTTTGGTCTTTAATAACCCTTTTTGTTGTAGTGTTATAGATGTCTAGGAACTATTGTTCAGAGGTGTTTATCCCACCCATACAAAGATATTTCTACCAATTCCCACATTGATAACAAAGTTACCCCATATTTTTGGCCACTGATTTCTAATAATTCTTCATAGACCCTTCCCAATAAGGAATTTAACTTCCTTAGTGGTCCATGGTCCTTTCCTTTCATATGTTGCAATGATGATTTTCATCCATAAACCCTGATAATCAGTTGCCGGTCTCCATAGACATTTTAACAAAAAGGCTTTAGTTTTGTGGTTTCAAATTCTTAATCCCAATTTTGTTGGTTATAACAACATCCTACTTGACCAAATGATACTTCTTCTCACCTTCACCATTACTTTCTCATAGGAAGTTCCTTCCCATAACATCCAACTTTTTAATGATCTTCCTCAGGATGTAAAAAAGGGACATCATATAGGTTGGCATAGCCTCAAGAACACCCAAGGATAAGTATTGACATCACCAATTAACCAACTTCTTCTCACATTTTTGCACCACAAAGTCCCTGATATTCATGGGCATACTCGTAGCTACCAAAGACAATCTTCCACATATTTGGTATGGTCCCCTGATATGGATCTAGTTATGGGGCGCTACAATATAAAATCAAATATTTTCTTCCTACGACCTATGGTCTTGGTTCATTAAGAGAGACATGTGATCTATTGAGTTTGAAGTACTCAAAAACTTAATAGTTCTTTTATTATAAGGCTTTCCGTTGAATTCATATAACTTAAATACAACAAGGAAATAGTTTGCTACTACTACTAAAATGAGAATTTGGAGGAATAACCTCCTTACTGCTAATAATTGCTAAGAGGAAACAACTTCTATAGGAAAATAATTGTTTCAAAGAAAATAGGAAAACATAATTAATAACGGTTGATTTAATCAACTTTTTGATTAAAATTTTCATGCATAAAACTGTTGGTATACTATAAGATGTCTTTGTGGCCACAAAATCATGGAAAATCTAACTTTGTATATTTAGAAATCATGCAATTCCCACCTCTTTGTGATCCTGAAATTGCGACCACTACAAATAGAAGGAAAAGAATCTAGCAAGTCCATATTTGAATCACCAGAGTGCTTAGAGCTAGGTTATGGTTGTAGATGAAATCATTCATACAAATAGATAAAGATAGAGAAAGGGTCATGCATTTGTTAGGGCTATTTATTATCTTGCCAAAGGAAGAAATAGTTGATAACTTTTAGTTGGGTTTTATATGACTAGCGATCGTTGATACTTAGAATTGGATGAAGTGTCCTTGATACATCAAATCAAAATGGTGCCACTGCCGGGGAATGGTGTTGTTTAAGATTCTTTGGTTAAGTTGAATTTTGTTCTTGTTAGTTATAGTTGAATCTACTTACTTTTAGTTTTGGTTTGCTTTTTTTTTTTTTTTTTTGAAACAGAGAGTATGAGTATGAATAGAAACAATGGTAGCCAAGGGGGCCACCAAGATGACATCGGCAACCTCAACGATGTCAATGAGCTGAATGCTAATGCCCCTCAAATTATGGGTGCAATTGGTGCTATTCTCTTGCCTCCGGTTGAAGGGAACGTTGTATTCCACATTACTAGCACTATGCTACAGCTTTTGCAATTAAAAGGCTGTTTGGTGGATTGGCTCATGAGGATCCCCATAGCATATCAGAAATTATGTTGATGTTTGCGGGCCGTTCTCCTTCAAGAATAAATCCCAAGAGTAGGTTCGGTTTAGGTTGTTCCCATTTTTTCTAATGGGGGAAGCGTGTAAGTGGCTGGCTGAATTTCCACGAGACTCAATAACTTCGTGGGAAGAGCTTGTCACCACATTTCAAGTGCGATTTTTCCCTTTTTTGAAGATGATGACACTTTGGGACAGCATTCAGAGCTTCAAGTGTCTGGAGGGCGAGCCAATCCATGAGACTTGGCTACGGTTCAAGAAGTTGGTGCTGCAA